TGATGGTTGTACGTGTTTATGTTTTTTTTTTTTCGGTATGCCGCTCCGCGAGCAAGAAGTGCCACGCACGAGCGAAGCAAAAAGAAAGAAAGGGGAATTTCTCTATTTTTTTTGGAGGATTGCGTATTTAATATAAATCCATGTCTTTCTTGTTCCACTAACTAGGACAAAATTTTGACATGTCTTTTTTTTCGTTTTTACAACCTTCTTTTTTGATGTCAAAGACCAGGAGTTACGCGCAAATTCTCATTGGATCTCGGTTATTCTTAACAGCGATGGCTATTCATTTAAGTCTTTGGGTAGCACACTAGATCTTCAACAAGGTGGAAATTCTCGTATTCCGTATGTACATGTTCCTGCGGCTCGGATGAGTATTCTTGTTTATATTGCAACGGCTATAAACACTTTTTTGTTCCTATTAACAAAGCATCCCCTTTTTCTTCGCTCTTCCGGAACCGGTATAGAAATAGGTGCTTTTTTTGCATTGTTTACCTTAGTTACTGGGGGGTTTTGGGGAAGACCTATGTGGGGCACCTTTTGGGTGTGGGACGCTCGTTTAACCTCTGTATTGATCTTGTTCCTTATTTACCTGGGTGCACTGTGTTTTCAAAAGCTTTCTGTCGAACCGGCTCCTATTTCAATCCGTGCTGGACCGATTGATATACCAATAATAAAGTCTTCAGTCAACTGGTGGAATACATCGCATCAACCTGGCAGCATTAGCCAATCTGGTACATCAATACATGTTTCTATGCCTATTCCAATCTTGTCTAACTTTGCTAACTCCCCCTTCTCAACCCGTACCTTGTTCGTTCTGGAAACACGTCTTCCTATTCCATCTTTTCTCGAATCTCCCTTAACCGAAGAAATAGAAGCTCGAGAAGGAATACCAAAACCTAGTTCACTCACTGAGTCTCATGCATCCATGGCTGAATGGTTAAAGCGCCCAACTCATAATTGGCGAATCGTTCCTTACTTGGGGAGAATTTTTAGTTATTGCTTTTCGACCTAGCGACCCTGTTCTTCTCCTTAGTTTCTAAACTAGCAGAATCGTGGGACATCAAAAGTGGGAAGTTTATTGTTTGTTGTTGGTTTTTATTCCTCACTCTCGTATAGGTGAACTTGGTTCGTTTAATTCTTAGGGAGAAGAAGGATCCGCTGGGAAGACTTGAGTAGTATCTTCATTAGCCGGAAGGAATTAGTCTCCACTAGCGTCATTCGAAGAACGAACAATAAAAAGGTTAATGTTTAGGTAGGATAGATGGATGTGGCCCAATGGCTAAAGCTCTGCCAGCTTCTTGTAGACTGAACTCTCTTCTCTTTAGGCTCCGACTTGTTTTTGGGTTGGATGGTCTAATTTATTTTCGCTACTAGTGGCAACGAAGTTCTTGGTAATTAGCAAGGGGGAAGGAGGATCTCCACTCATTTCATTCATTCAGTGCCTACGGCGAGGCTCGACCTACAACAAACGAAGGGGGAAAGCTTGCTGTAGCCCTTTTTTAGTAGATTAGGCTTGGTAAGCATAAGCTATTTAAGTAGGCTCGCAGCTTCGCCAGAAGCGACGAAGGGGGGCTGGGGAAGGCCGACGACTACACGAGGGGGAAGCTCTCGTAGAAGCTTTACCCCTTGCTTTATAGAGATTGTTATAAACTGACTAAATGACTAGATTCTCCCTCCACGCTAGCTAAGCTAATAGTTTGAGTTTCTTTCCTTCAATTTAAATGCATAAGCTTTGTGATTGATTCACGGCGCCGCCCCCTTCTTAGAATTATAACCTATTGAGGGGGGCCTCAGCCCGGAAAGGGGAGAGTGGCCTAGTGGTCAAAAGCGACAGACTGTAAATCTGTTGAAGTTTTTCTACGTAGGTTCGAATCCTGCCTCTCCCACTTGTTTGTTATAAACTTCAGAGAAGATTCAATAGGCATTCGTCAGCGTAGGAAGGCCAACCGAGCGAAGCTCTTTCTTTTTTTGGCCGTGCTGTGAAGTGAAATTGTATCGTATGTTAGTTAGAGAGGTTGACGAGAACTACTACGATCTATAAATTCCCCATCTATCTATATCCAATCCCAACGAGAATCGAAGCGAGTAGCTTCCGGCTTGTCTTGTAGTCGTACTCTTTTAGCTTATGTAGTGGTCGGCCTTCCTACACGCATGCGTCCGCCAGGATGCCTCCTTGGTTCCGGACGAAGCCAAGCCGATATTTATACGATAGGCGAAGGAAAAACCCCCATTTCATAGCGCCTTGGGAACGCAAGTTTGATCGAGGATTGGAGAGGTGAAAGAAAAAAGGCTCGGGATGGATTTAGGAGTCTTTGTGCGAGCCGTATGCGGTGAGAGTTGCACGTACGGTAACGAGGGGGGTTCGCGTCTATACGTGTACTGTGGTGCTTGGGCCTACCCACCCTATTTGTTCCATGATCTATGGGTCTACTGGAGCTACCCACTTCGATCAATTAGCCAAGATTTTGACCGGATACGAAATCACTGGTGCTCGATCTAGTGGTATTTTTATGGGGATTCTATTTATCGCTGTAGGATTCCTATTCAAGATCACTGTAGTTCCTTTTCGGGCGGCTGTAGGACGGACGGCCGCCTATAGGTGGTAGGGTAGGGGGGAGGTGGTACCGCTCAGATTGCGGCTAATCTTCCCCTATAACGCGGGCCGGGCTTAGAGCGCGTGAAACTCATCACTACCTCGTAAGGGCGTTGAGACCATAGCATGTTACACGAAAGCGCCGCTTTCTCTGTAGTGTTTCCACAGAGCTGCCCGCCTAGAAGCGCCGCTTTCTCTGTAGTGTTGTCACAGAGCTGCCCGCCTAGAAGAGTCGCTTTCTCTGTAGTGTTGTCACAAAAGATAAGCACGCCGCCCGCCTGCTGGCCGGGCGAATCGAAGTTCTCTTCCGGTCAACTGTCTACCCAGTCAAGTGCAAAAACACAGTAGAATTACGCAACGCACGCTGGTGGTGTGCTTCCTGCTCGCAAGGAAAGAAAGAAGAGCGACAAAGTCAAGTTCAGATTGGACTGTTTGCAGCATGGAAGCAGATTACCCAAAAAATCCCTGGGAACAATGAAAAAAAAAGATATCTCGGTAACGAAAACTATAGGGGGCTGTATTGGCGAGATCCAACGGTGAACAGCTGCCCAAAAGAAATACCGCCTAGAAGTCCGAGGACCTTTAGTACTTGTACTCTACCCCCGAACCAGCAGCCTTTGCGCCAAGCAAGACCGCCCTTGTCCCCTTCCTTTCTTCATTCCGCCCCCTTCTTTGCTTTGTTCCAATAGAGTCTTAGGCAAAGAAGTTCGTATACCTACTTTACTTACTGGACGAAAGGGAACGAAGTTTCGTTTCGGGTTTCTCGATTGGATTCAGTCAGCGTCACGACATAATCAAAAGGAAGGAGTGAGGCCTTGGTTACCGGCGAGCGAAGCTATGAACGAACAAAGTGAAGCTATTAGATAAGGCGACCCTCTCGAGTTTCCTTCTTTAGCAGCCTCAATTGAAGTAGCCTTTCGTCGCCCTACCAAAGCAAAGGTGCGCTCCGCCCGTTCCGATCTCCGATCCGTAAGTTCTCGCAAAGAGAATAAGATGCTGCTTCCCCTCCCTCTGCCTTTTCCTGCTTTGCTAATCTTCCACTAATAACGCGGGCCGGGCGGCGACGGGCGCGGGAGGAAGAAACGAAACCTAAGATTAAGATAAGGCGCTCTTATCTTAGGTCCTTTTTTTCAGCGCAACAGAGGAAAGCGCCCTCTTTTTGTCATCCCTGCAGCTTTCCAGATTTTGTATTGAACGCATGGCGTAGCTAGGACCCTTCCAATCATGTTTAGGCCTATGTTTAAACCCACTCGCTATTTGACTAAGGATGGAAAGAATGCCCGCCAAGTTCAGATAAGGGAATGCTTCCCCCAACCATTAAAAAATTCCGGCTCGGCCCGGGAAAGCGCTGGGAACAACAGAAAGGAAGGGGTCCATGTAGCTGCTGCGCCCACCCCCTTCTTAGTCAATGGGGCACAGCAGGTTCGGCATCTACTACAAAGGAGAGAATCCACTTCAGATAAGCACGCCTCTGCTAGCAGCGTGTGGAATGGCCAAGAGCGGACCTTTTTGGATATATAATCCAAGTCGAGAGTAGAGTTACAGGAACAACCGTCTGATGGAAAACTACTTTCACGTTCGGTTCAGAGAGCACTTTTTTCGTTGAGAATTCCCCGTTCCCTTTCGTGTGAATTCCCCAGTTAGAATCCTAAACTTGTGGGGCCCTATTTATTCCATCTCTCGAGCCCCGAAGAAACCCCCCCTCCCTTCGGACTCCATATCTCTTTTGACTCTATATATGTGGGCACCTGATATCTATGAGGGTTCACCCACCCCGGTTATAGCATTTCTTTCTATTGCGCCTAAAATCTCTATTTCTGCTAATATTTCACGTGTTTCTATTTATGGTTCTTATGGGGCTACATTGCAACAAATCTTTTTTTTCTGCAGCATTGCTTCTATGGTCTTAGGAGCACTGGCCGCCTTGGCCCAAACGAAAGTAAAAAGACTTCTAGCTTATAGTTCAATTGGACATGTAGGTTATATTCGTACTGGTTTATCATGTGGAACCATAGAAGGAATTCAATCACTACTAATTGGTATCTTTATTTATGCATTAATGACGATAGATGCATTCGCCATAGTTTTAGCATTGCGGCAAACCCGTGTCAAATATATAGCTGATTTGGGCGCTCTAGCCAAAACGAATCCTATTTTGGCTATTACCTTTTCCATTACTATGTTCTCATACGCAGGAATACCCCTGTTAGCCGGCTTTTGTAGCAAATTTTATTTGTTTTTCGCTGCTTTGGGTTGTGGGGCTTACTTCCTAGCCCCAGTGGGAGTAGTGACTAGCGTTATAGGTCGTTGGGCGGCCGGAAGGTTGCCACGAGTAAGTCAGTTTGGGAGACCGAAGGCAGTTCTCCGTGCACCGGACACGTAGCTTACCGAATCAGTTGCAACATGGATGGGAATGCATGCCACGAAAGAGAGGGTCGGGTCTGATCCATCAACCATCTACTCAATATCCTTGTACGAGTCCACAATCACTACACGAGATGAACCTTGGTTTGGTGAATTGAAGTTGGCCTTAGGTCTAATAGGACTCTCAGTTATTGCGCGCGATCGTATCGAGGTGCTCCCGCCGGTTGTTGGAACGACGCGAGCCAGGGCGGGTTTCAATTCAGAAAGATGAAGGGCCAAAAAGTATAAATGGGGGGTTCCAAATTCCCCATCTCATTGGGGGCGGAAAACGAATCGACATCTCGATGTGATACAACCCTTTCTTTTTTAGTTGGGAAAGAACGGCGAAGTCCATCCGAACCGTCCAATGAAGAATAAGAGGAGAGCAAAGCGCCAATGGCGCGCGAAGCGCATGCGGAACGGGCACAAAGAAAAAGAAGTGTGGAGGAGAAGCAGCCGAGCTCATTCCCTTCACTTCCTGGGCCCAAAGCAGTGTAGTCTTTCCTGGCCAAATCAAGGATTGGGGGCTTCTTGCTACGCTACTTAACTATAAAAATCCATTTTAATTCATAATATATATGAATAGAAAGATAGAGACATCCATCCATCCTATCTTTTCTTTTATTTGGATATCTAAAAAAGAATAGATTTCATTCAACCTTTGATTCAAAGAACTGCGCTTAGCCCCCCGCTCATGAAAGGGCTCGATGCAATGGATGGCAGAGGGTCCATAGTACCCGAAGCACTGGAGTAATCCAGTAGCCGGGAAGGGGCCTAGAAGTGCTGCCTACTACACCACACTACACTTGGCTCTACACATTTACAGAGTAACCCCTGTCCAGTGCCCGGCAGAGCTAAGAGGGCTTCAATCCTTGCTCTTTATCTCCATCTTCGCCCTAGCTAACGGGGCCTTACTTATTCAGAGGGGAGGCTCGAAAAGCACTGTTGAGAGAAATCTCTTTGTGGCCCCCCTTGATTCTCTACAGGGTTCCAAACCTTTCTTCAACATAGGTGACAACGAGCGAGGCAGAGATGGAAGAGATCAAACACGGGAATAAGAAGCAAGCTCGCCTTCTTTTTTGATCATTTTTATAGAGAAGAAAGTGGACAAAACAGACTCGCATTTCTCATCAAACAAATACAAAAAAAGAAGAATATTGAAAACGCTTCTAAAACCCAACCCTTTCTGTCGTAGAGCCGTGTATTGTGAGTGATCCGAACCTGCTTGGAGCGAGCCCCCATAGAGGCAAGTGAAGTTGGTGAGCCGTATGATGGGCAACTATCTCCTGCGGTTCGGAGAGGACTCACTGTTAGTTAGTACCCCTTGGCTTGGTTTCGGGGTGGACCCTTTCACTCTATTTTATTATATACGCTTAGCGAAAAGAATGTTTTTTGATACACCTAGGACATGGATTCTATATGAACCAATGGATCGTGACAAGTCGTTACTACTAGCAATGACTTCCTCTTTCATTACTTCATTCTTTCTATATCCCTCTCCTTTGTTCTCGTTACTCATCAAATGGCACTCAGTTTATATCTTTAAGTTCGATCATTGACAAGGCTCAAAGAAAGGGTGGGTGGATGGCGATTAGTGGGTCGCTAGTTTCAACACTATGGAGGTTCAACTCCTCCTTAATCGCTGTCAAATCAACGAAAGTACGAGATCGGTTATCTACGAAATTCAAAAAAATCTTTTATGAACGAACTTCAGACCTTCCACTCCTTTCTACTACTCCACTCGCTTGGGGAAATCCTTATAAGAAATATTCCTATTTTTGGAAAGGAAGGAATGCAGGGAACAACTCTTTCCTTTCCACCGGTTCTTGAAAGCTATCAATCCCCGTCTGAATAGTGAGAAAGACTTTTCATAATTCGATCAAATCGATCGAGAATCTCATCGTTCTGTTAGGCGGGCACCTGACCTGCCAAATGTATTATTCTCAAGTTTACTACCCGCTAATGGATCCGATAAGAGATTCCAATAGTTAGAGTACTCTTTGCTACCGGTACCGGAAAATAAGGCACAGAGCAAGGGGTTTCATTCATAACGAGTAAGTCCCCCTGCAGTCTTTCATGAAGACATTGGAAAAAACTTTCTTCTAAGATGGTGAAGGCACAAGCAAATACATTATCCACGCCTTTAACCCTAGGCATAAGATACTTATGGTCACTGCTAACCCTGACCCTGGTAAGGATGTATCATGAGAAGGTAACTGTGCCAAGTACGGGTTGGCGCTCTTCGCGGAAAATAGCATTGGGACATGCTATTACCTATGTATGGTGACCAGAGTCTGTCCGGTCAAACGGAAGAAAGCAAGCAGTGGTTAAGCTTACGTAATCATTAGTTCTAGCCCTATAATCTAAGTAGAAAGGCCTCTCCCGTTCGCGAGCAGGCAAGGGAACTTCCATCGATCGAGTTTCAGTCGCTTTTCGTTGATCCAGGCGAGAAAGCTTACTAAGCTTGCCTCTGCTTTTGTCTGTCTTTCAAGCAAGGTTCGCAAGAAAGTTAGAAAGCCTTCAAAGAACCGTTATCCCACAGGGTTTCTCCCGCTAAACTACTTTGAGTCCGCACTTCTATCGTGCATTCTAAGACCATGCCAGCCTAAAGAAGAGACTCCACTAGGCTGTAATCTTCTTGTTTCTAAACTCAATCTAGGGTTTATGCGGCTCTCTGAATAATATGTCCACTGTAGGGAGTAGGGTACATACTGAATCAACTATAAGAGGGAATAGCCAGAACATGCTCTTGAAATTATATAATAATGGAAAGATATTCTTCGATTAATGATTAACTCTTATCAGCTCACCCGGACATAATAGAAATAAAACGGAGGGCTTTCCTTTTTCAGCTGCATTGCACTGCCGCATAAACAATGGATCCGCTGGGCTGGATGAGCAACCTTCTATCTGGCCTCTCTACTCATAATAGCTTCACTTCTAATAACTTCGTTCGTTCGGCTTGCTACTTTTAATCGAAAAGGAAGATGGAGCAAGGCAAAGGAAAATAAGTTGTCCCCTCCTCTTCTCGGGTAACCCGCCGCCGCATATGTAGAAAAAGAGGGAGCGGAGAAGGAAGAACAACCTTTTACTTTGGCACATGAGGTGGCGGGTTTGGCTAGGTAACATAATGGAAATGTATCGGACTGCAAATCCTGGAATGACGGTTCGACCCGTCCTTGGCCTCGAGGAGTGGTGAGCAGCACGGAACTTTAATCAATCAAATGGCATTAGGGTAGGGGCTTTCCTTTGTTAAAAATCCACGTGGGATAAAGATTCAAGCTTGGATTGAGTACACAGATATGCAGCAAAGTGGACTCAGGTTTGGGCAAGTGACTCTCAGATTAGGCCCTATTATTGTGGCTCGGGTTTACTTTTTCAGCATTTAAAGGAGTATATGCATGTCATGCTGCTTTCTCTGCTTTGGTTTACCGAAAGTGAGGTCGACAGCTTCTTTCGGTGGTACCTTTTCTGTCTAGCTCGTTCTCTTATTCCCAGCTCGAAAGAAAAATGCTTTAATCCAACGAACGAAGCTATTGGAAGTGAAGCTATTGGAATCGATAAAATAGGGACTGGTATAAATATTCTAATTGGTTCTTTTTTTTATATTATCCTTCTTTTTTTCATCTCTTTCTTTAGCTATTTTCTACGCATCTACTTAGTTTCTCGCTTAGGTAGTTGTTGTAGTCATGTTCCTATTTTTTCTTTTCTAATTATGTACGCTTCGGGTGGGGAAATCTCTGGGCCTTCCGGTCCACCGAGCTCGTCTTCGTGGACGGAGGTTTCATTCGAAATGGGGGTCTTATTAGAACCTTTTTTGGATACCGAAATTGAGGGAAATTCCTCGACCCCAGGGGTGGCGGGCGATGAAGCAGGGCCTTCGCTCCCACCAGCAGACCTTACTCCAAATGGGAGCCTTGAATCCTCCATAAGGGCTCGAGTTGTAAAACTTGAAAATGAAGGAAGCATCTTTCTCCTTGATAAAGAGAGGGGGGAAATTAGGACTAAGCTCAAAAGCTGTTCTTCCCAGTCAGAATATAACCTAGAACTGGAGTTCGAGAATCGGGATCTCAGTTCGAGAAGGAAACACCAGTGCTATTCCTTTTTCAAAAATTCTTGCTCAGCATCCTTACTTGTCCAAGGATGCCCCATACGCTCCGACGAACTCTTTAGTGACTTCTTTGACGAGAAGCGGACGGAGCTTGACACCCACGGCGAGTGGAGCCCAAAAGAACGTGACATCAAGGAAATACAATTCCTAAGTCAAGTCTCTTCCGATCTAAAAAGAAGGGGCCCCGCCTCTATCTATATGAAAGAGATTTTCGGTGTCGAGAGATTTGAGATTCCGTAAGTAACTCAGTGAGTGCGAGGGCTTGGAAGAAGAAAATGAAATACGAACAACCGCGCTGGTCGTAATAGATCTACTTTCATGCTGGAGCAAGAACTAGCATGAAAGTTCCATTTCAGGGAAGGACGACGTACTATGATACTTTCTGTTTTGTCGAGCCCTGCTTTGGGGGCTTGATGGTTGTACGTGCTAAAAATCCGGTACATTCCGTTTTATTTCCCATCCCAGTCTTTCGCAATACTTCAGGTTTACTTCTTTTGTTAGGTCTCGACTTCTTCGCTATGATCTTCCCAGTAGTTCATATAGGAGCTATAGCCATTTCATTCCTATTCGTTGTTATGATGTTCCATATTCAAATAGCGGAGATTCACGAAGAAGTCTTGCGCTATTTACCAGTGAGTGGTATTATTGGACTGATCTTTTGGTGGGAAATGTTCTTCATTTTAGATAATGAAAGCATTCCATTACTACCAACCCAAAGAAATACGACCTCTCTGAGATATACAGTTTATGCCGGAAAGGTACGAAGTTGGACTAATTTGGAAACATTGGGCAATTTACTTTATACCTACTATTTCGTCTGGCTTTTGGTTCCTAGTCTTATTTTATTAGTAGCCATGATTGGGGCTATAGTACTGACTATGCATAGGACTACTAAGGTGAAAAGACAGGATGTATTCCGACGAAATGCTATTGATTTTAGGAGGACTATAATGAGGAGGACGACAGACCCATCACGATCGACTAAGAGGAAAGTCGCACGGAGATATTGGTTCAAATCCAATTCGTGATCACAGACGAGAAAATAGACCCTTAAGCATGCCTATCCTACACGACTTCCTTTCCAGCGTTTTTTCCTAACATAACAGCGGCTATATGCTTTTTCCAGCACTCGAACGAAAAGCGAAGGAGCTGCTTAAAGGTCTTCGGCAACGAGTTCAACTGCTGACCCAAGTGGAGATCAAAGAGCTGCATCTCAATCTACGCAATTTTCCGATCTGGGAAGGAACGAACGAAGCTATTAAAAGTGAAGCTATAAGAAGAAGAAACCGGAAAGAGGCTACTTCAAATCCTGGTTTGGGGTTATAGTTGATGGTTATTTCGAATTCCATGGCCAGACAATTCTAGGCTTGCTAACCTTCCCACGCGTACGTCATGCCAAAGCTCAATTATCAAACCTTTGAAATCGGTTCAACTAA